AGTACCGTTCCCTGTTGAGGATTTCATGTGGGCAGTAACCACCTGGGGCTTATGAACTTAAGTTTTCTGTGTTCTCTATCTTGAAAACTGGTATTTTACAGCTTCAGATGGTTCTTGTGGCTATGCCATTTTTGAGATGCTAACGGAGGTGTAAGAGGTCTGTAATGGACTTGGAAAGGAAAAGGTCTAGCAATTGATATGTCCTTGCTATAGTACACCCATCTAAAATTTATTATGGGTTAATACTATTAATATGTTGGCTCAGAACATCCTGTATGTTGGAGTCAGATATCAGAATCATTCACTTACGGTTTCTTGTTAGGAGCTGGGTTCACTTTGAGTAGCTCTTTGCTAGTAGGTGGATACACATACAGGTGAACTGAAGCTTGCACCTAGCGTTGGGGGAAACCTGCCTCCCTGGGCTTAGTCCCTTGTATGGAGCAGTGCTGTTTAACAGAAAATGAACCATTGACTTCTTCATTCCTGAGTTGCTTTCGGAAGAGAAGCTCAGCATGAACTTGGTGATAGCATGTGTAATGTCTGAAGGAGAGACATGCCAGCAACCAGTTTTCAGAGGGAACTAAAACAACAATGTAATTGTGGACCCGAAGAAGTTCAGGCTGCCTAGCATCCCGCCAACAGCTGTAGCTGTACCAGCTGGCCCAAGAGAGGGCCTCTGCAGTTGCATGGCAGAGAAGCAGCAGGCAGGCCACTGCAGACAGGGGCCTTGTGGGCTTCTGAAATGTTAAGCTGAGGGCTGCAGAGCCAGCTCCGGGGCGTAAGGGGGGTTGTATTGCAGTGTTGATGCTGCAGATGTGTGTCTTGGACTAAGGGGTTTCAGAATATTGAAGGGGGCTGAGTGTGCTTGTTGGGACAATCTTGCCCTGCCAGTTTCTTGAATTGGTCCCTGTTAAATATTTTGATTCTAATAATAAAACTCCTGGAACCTCCCCAGAAAAGCACCCAGCTGCTGACTTGGTTTGGGATGAAGCTGGCCATCAGCTTCTCCTTAAAGGCTGGGATGGTTCATGTGATCCACTGCAGCCACCCACTTCTGGAGAACTGACTCAGCGACTTCTTCCCTTCTGAGAGTATGTGTTGAGTGCTTCTTCCTTTGGCAGGTAATGCCAGTGCCTTGGTGAGGCTGCTTCAGGATGAGACCTGCAAGCTGCAGCAGATTGGCTCCTACGATGAGGAGCAGCTGCGGGACTTTCTGACACAATGTGGAGTGCCCTGGGAAGTAGCAGATACAAAGGTAATAGGCCTGTTCCCCATGCACCAGGTCATGCACCCCTACCATCTTCTCTTCAATTGGTAATGTGTAGAGTACCTTTTGCTCCACTACTAAGAAGATGGGTGGATCAGAGATCATGAGTCCCTGCCATTTGCAGGTTGACTGATACACAGTTAAACAGTCAACCCTTGTGGGTTAGAGGAAGAGACGCTTGTAATTACCTTGTCATGGGCTCCTCCTCTTGGAGATGTGCATCTTCCCTGTTGTACTCAGCATGAAATTAAAAGCTTGTTAGCATATGTTCAAGCAGGACTTGTGTGAGATGGCACTTAGCCAGGCCCATTTTTTTAGGAGACTCCTGGGCCTTCATTCTTTATTCAAATGCAGGCCTTTCTCTCTGTATTTTGCCTAGGACCAGCTCTGTTACTCTCTACTGGCCCTCTATGACTTTGTGCTAAATGGGACAAGTGCCAAACAAGTCTCAGCCCAGCGCACGGGAGGCAAAATCTACAAAGTGTGTCCACACCAGGTAAGGCAGGTTGGAAGCTGCCATCTGTTTGCTTGGCAGGTGTGAGTGATGGGTTCTTTTAATCAGTGTTTGACACATTGTTTGCACAGGGAAAGATTTGTCTCCCCTCTCCTGGAAGTATAAACAGGAGACTGATAGTGAGTGGAGGGGAATTGGGGATTCTTGTTCTCCAGCTCTTTTCAGGGGGTGTCAAGGTGACTTGGTCTTAATAGTCCCAGAAAGCAACTTTTTTGAAGGAAAGAATGTAAGGTTGGGGTGAGTGAGAAGCTTCTTGACTATGCCACAGAGTTGGGATTAAAAAATAATCCTTCTCTGCATGAGTCACTGTTGACCTGTGTGGGGAGGAGACAAAACTGAGAGGGCACTGAGTTGACCAGCTAGTTAAGAGAAGTTGTGACCATTACACTTGTAACTGGGAGTTTTTAAACAAATTATTTTGTTCTCTTTAGGAATTTTTGTTTTAGGTTTAGTGCAGTGCAATGCCCCGAAGTTGCCAGTTTGTTTTTTCTCTCTCCTTCCTAGGTGGTGTGCGGCTCTAAGTACATCGTGAGAGGGGAAAGTGCCCGGGACCATGTGGACCTGCTAGTCTCCTCACGCCATTGGCCTCCTGTCTACGTGGTTGATATGGCCTCTGCTGTATCATTGTGTGCGGACATCTGCTGCCCTGACCTGACTTCCCAGATGTGGGGAAAGAATCAGGGATGCTTCTCTGACCCCCTGGAGCCGCCAGTGGTTAGTTATATTGCAGTCCTTGCCATCTGCCAGGCTGAAAGGAATTTTCAGCATTGGTACCAGTCTTGTGTCATCTGCAGCTATGACCCTGGGGGTGACTTGGTATCCTTTTATTAGGCTAATTCTAGAGTGCAGCTCTCTGCCTCTTGGGAGGTGTCATGGCCTGTCCAGTGTTGTTACTTTTACTGGTACATTCCTCCTGGGAACAGTTACAGGCAATATTTGCTGCTGTTGCAATTCACACGTGTCCTCTTACACATGCAGTATGCACTAGTGATATGTCTTAGTTGCACAGCTTGTGGATGTTGGAGCTTGTGGCCTGTTCTTAAGACAGTGCCTTGAGTCATGCAACAGACATTTTACTATTAGAAAAGCAGGGAAGCTGGAGAGCAACAGGGATGTAGTGATGATGTTTTCCTGCCTGTTTGATGGCTCAGCATGGGGTTTGGGCGGTACGAGGCTGCCCTCTTGGCATCTGTGGAGAATACTGACTGTCTCCTTACCCGCTCTGCCCGAGGTCATAATTCTTACCTTTGATTCAAGAAAGAGTTAGGATTTTCCTAGTCTCTTAACAGGTGCGCACTCAGCTGGGTGCATGGGTGAGTGTGTAATATAAAAGAACTCTTTTCCCCTCTTCCAGTATGTGTCCTGCCCAGAGCTGCTAGACAGGCACTACAGTGTGGATATGAACATAACTGAGCACTCTGTCCAGCACCCAGTCACCAAGTCCGCAGCCCGCCGAGTTGTTCACGCTGAGGCAGAGGCGAATGCCCAGAGCGACCCAGTGGCCCGGCACCATTCTATTTCCTTGTGTCAGGAGCTGGAGCCTTACAGTGCCATCATCGCCACCATCAACGACAGCAAAACTAGCGACATTCGCCAAAGGCCGATCACGTTTGACAATGCCACCCACTATTACCTCTACAACCGCCTGATGGACTTCCTCACCAGCAAGGAGATTGTGAACCAGCAGATCCATGAGGTGGTGCAGAGCTGTCAGCCTGGCGAGGTGGTGATCCGGGATGCCCTGTACCGGTTGGGGGTAGCCCAGATAAAAACAGAAATGGAGGAGGGGGAAGAGGAACTCCAGGAGGATGATAAAGAGGCTGCTGAATAAGCTGTTTTGAGCTTAGTTGGCTTATCTCTTTCTAGCCGGGCAGGTAGGGGTGCTGGGGTGGCTTTGGCCAGCTCTTGGCAACTGTCAGGTTTATTTGGGTTAGCTAATTCTTTACACGGAGAAGCTGTGATTACAGAAGGCTTTGACTGCTTACACTGACCAAAGAGATGTGTGCTTCCTGAGGGCTGTCACTGCTGCCGTGAGCATGAATTTCCTTAACATCCTTACAAAGAGGATGGGATTCCTTGCCAAGGTGATTCTTGGCCCCATCAGTGTGTGGAGCAAAGTGCTGCTCTTGCAGGAAAGGAAAGTAGCAGAAAACAACACAGGGCTCCCCCCAGACTGTTTTGAATGAATTAGCAGAATACACTGACCCTCCCTGCTGTGGGATCCTATCTGGCCTCTGGCTGTGCTCTTAAACGGCACATGCTGACCGGTCCTTTTAGTAGCTGGAAGCAGCCAGTAATGTTCAGGTGGCCACCCAGGAGATGCTGGTGTCCAAGACAGGTATATGCAGTTGTAAGGAGGTAAATGGTGCCATATTGGTGTCCGGGGTCACTGGCAGTGCAGTGTAGCAGCTGTGTGGCTGCAGGAATGAGTTTCTAGGACAGTGGATCCCTAAACTTGAATAATGAATTATTTAGAAGCTGCAGTGCCTAGTGAGCAGACTTGGTGGAAGAAAGAGTTGACAGAAAAGGGTTGTCATTGCTTTGACAAGCCAGGTGATAGCAGGTTTTTTGAAGCTTGAGGTGTGCTGTGTAAGGCAATGGTTCTTGAAGCAGGAGAGGCGCTTGAGTCCTGGGCACCTTACTGTTCGTTTGTGAGCTGTTGCATCCTGTCTGTAAACTTCGGACAGTGCCGATGATGGCACTGTAATCTGCATACTATCCCTATGACGAAGCTTGAATTGCAATGAACATCTGTGTCTCAGCAGCCAGAGGCCGTGAGCATAATGTAAACTCTTCATGGGCCTCCCTGGTTTTACTAATCATTTTGCTTAGGCAGAGTATGGTAGCGAGAGCTGCATCCGCTTGTCTCTCTTGGCCCTGTGCAAAGTGTCATATCCCCATCCTGCTTTCCACAAACTTGTAAAACCCAAGTGGGTCTCGTATCCTCCACACTGCTTTGACTGTTCCTTTTGAGGAGCTTGGCTGAGACCCTTTTCCTTCCAGCATAGTTAAGCAGCTACTTTAAAGCCCATTTGTAAGCTACTTGCATTGTCCTCTGACTCCCTTTGTGCTGGTCGTCCGTCTGGATGTAGGCATCTGCTCCAGACAGGGAGCTGGGATGTCAGGGCATTGGGAAACTAGGACAGAGTTTCTATGAGAGGACACGGGAGGTTCAGAGATGCATAGTATGAAAATTCCCTTCTGTGAAGGGGAACCTACTGAGTACCGTACTGTAAAAGTAAATGTATTAAGTCTGAGCAAATTCGGTAATTATGCTTTGGGGTTTTCCTGTTAAGAATGTTAATTTATTAAAGACATTAGTGACTTTTTCAGTCTGTGATAAAGTTTAATAAATTATCTCCAATTTTTTTGAGTGAAACAGCTTGGCTACTTGAGTTTTTGTGAGATTTAGACATCAGGAAAAGGGTATGTACAGTTTGACAGAGATACGTTGTTTGCAGTTGACAGGTGAAAAGCCTGCCAACCTTTCACATCCACATGGACTTTAGGCCAAGGTGAGTTAGAGAAGTAAAACTTGGTTGTCTCAGTCCTGTGTTTTGAAAGGAGTACATATAAAGTCCCTGCGCTCCACACTGTAGCAATGAATCTGAGAGTCTTTCAGAATAAAGCTGGTCTGTAAATACAGCTCCTGTATCATCTTTCAGATAAAATGGTGCTGGCCCTTTGGAGCTAAGAATTCATCACCGTGCATAGGGGGGAGCAAAAAGCAGAGTTTGGGTCAAATTATATTCTTTTCCGCTGGACTCCAGAATCTCTCTTTTTTTCACTTCCACCCCCAAAATGGTGTTCTTTATTACTGGATTGGAAATTAAGCAGACAGTGATGGTTGACTTCAAGGGGTTGACTTCATTGTGCAAGTGGTTTAGAATGATTTTTAGGAGCTAGAGTTGGGTTCACTCCAAGTGAACCCCAGATTCTGATTCATTCCTTTCAGTAGAGGTAGACCAGGGCAAAAGTAACGAGAGTGGTGTCACGTGAGAAGAAAGTGCTTGACGCCTGCGTAGCCAAGACATGGTGTGGGCTGAGGAACTGATCATGAGAGCTGCAACTGAGCTGGTAATGAGCAGACTTTGGAGGGAGGGGATAGAAATGGTGGCAGAGGCCATGTTTCACCACACTGAGAGTTCCTAATCATGCTTTTATTTCCAGCTGTGTAGCTTGTATGCTGAAGAAGAGGGAAGTAATAACGTTGTGTTTCATAAACTGAATTTATGGCCACCAGAGTGGTGGTAGCCTGCTCCTTCCAATAGTGTACTGCTGTTCTGATGCAGCCATTCTACACATGATGCACAGGCACATACTGGTCTCCTGTCTTCCCAAATGTCTTAACCCTTTAGTCAAAATATACTGTGGTGGCTTTCCCTCCTCCTTTGCCATTGCTTCACCTCCCCTGCTTAGGCTACTTGAATCGGTTTGCCACTGCTTAAGGAATAGCAGCGAGAGGTTGAGTTACCCAGATAGTTCTGAGAGCACCTGGTGTTAACACCTTGTATGACTGCCTTGGTTTCACCCTTTTCCTGATGTGAGCAGTGGAGAAGGAAAAGCTTTTATGAAAAAAATAGAAATGGAGCATTGCTTTGTTCATCACGTTAGTTTATTATAAGGCTAACAAATGGAAAAGCATTAGATTTTATTGAACAAGAAGGAAATCATTCTGTATTAACAACATGTGTACGTGTGTTAATTGGAAATCACCCTGAAATTATTGGCAGCAGTTCAGCAAAGGCTGAGTTAGTTCATGGATTACTTCCTAGTAGCTATCATTTAAGCCTATCTCAGTGCATCTATAACTAGTACTAATACTCTGCTATACAGTCAGTTAAGGCTAATGTTCCTAGTTGCCTCTTTCCATAACTGTTTTGTAAAGACCACAGACCTGGCTGCTGTGTATCATTAGCAGGGATCTTGGTTTTCCGTGATTAAAAAAACCAAACAAATTCTCTGATTAAAACCCCCAAAATCTGTGGTTAAATTAAGTGCCCCCCACAGCCCCAGGCCTGCCAGAGGGGACCCCAGTTGCCAGGGCTATGGGGCCAGGGACCTGGGTCTGCAGCTCCCTGCCCCCAATGGAAGGCAGCAGCTACTGCGGTAGGAGCACTAGCCAGCTTCCCCCACTGCTGCCTGCTTGCTGCAGGCTCAGGTAGGGCCGGCTCCCGGCTGCAGTGTGGACTCCTGGGGGGCAGAGGGGACCCATGCCCCTGAGATCTGTGGGGGGTGGGGGCAGGGTGTGTGAATGATGTGGGATTGTGCTCCCCACCCTGCTGCCCTCTGGAGTGCAGCTTGTGCAACCTAGCATGGCAGTGCACAGCGGGATGTGCACGAAAGCTGCTTGCCCCTGCAGGCTCTGCGCTGCCCTGGCCATGCTTCTTCTGCAGGTTGGGACTAGGGGCCAGGTGTGAGGAACGTAACCCTGTGCTGCCTCTGTGCGCACAAAGGAAGCTTTCCTGCATGGCCCCACTATGCCCTGCTGTGCCAGTTGCACACGCTGTGATCTGGAGAGCAGCAGGGTGGAGAGTGCAGCGTTTGCAGCCAACCGGGCGCTCTAAGGGGGGGAGGACTGCCCAGCCAGCTGCAAACCCACCCCTGGCCGGAGAGTACCCAAGCTGGCCTGGGGCTGAGGGAGCGGGGAGGCTGTGAACCCCCTGCCTCCCAGCTGGAGTGCCCAACCAGCTGCAAACCTCCCCACTCCCCCAGCCCTCAAGTAGCTTGGGCCCTCTGTCCAGGAGTGGGGGAAGTTAACAGCCCCCCAGGTACTCCGGCTGTGGGGCGGGGTTTGCAGCCTCCCCGCTTCCTCAGCCCCCAACCAGCTTGGGCACTCCCCAGCTGGGCACTCTGGCTGGGAAGGGGGATTTGTAGCTGGCTGGGTGTGGCAGGGGGTTTGCATCCGGCTCCCCAGCTGGGAGTGAGGAGGCTGCAAACCCCTCCTGGCCAGAGTGTGCAGCTGGCTGCAAGCCTCCTTGCTCCCTCAGCCCCCAGCCAGCTTCCCCCAAGCCCCACTTACCGCTAAGAAGAATGAGCCTGAAGCAGCCTCTGGTAAGTGTGAGCTTACCACCCTTCCCCCTCTCCCTTCCACTCAGAGCAGGGTTGCGGGATTTCCTCGCCCCTTTTCCAAGCAGCTCTTGCAGGCTGGAACTCGGCCAGCCTGCAGGGCTCTCTGCAAAAGGGGGAAATCCATGGGTTTCTCTGCTGAAAGAGAAAATCCACGTTTTCTCCGATTTAAAAACGGGAAATCCGTGGTTTTCTCTGTTTTTTCATGGGAAACGGAAAACCCGTATCCCTGATCGTTAGTAACCCTGAGTAAAAAGAATGGAAGATCAAAAATATATTCTGAGGGCATTAAACCTTAGCTTATGAAATCTTAACTACCTTACCAAAAATGCCAATACCTACATTTAAAAAAAAAACCCTATGGGTCTGCTATAGGCAGTGAGTTGCTACATTTCTTTTTCAGTGATTCAAACGCAGTGCAGACTGCAGAATGCTGATCAGTTCCAGATCAAAATAAAGCTGTTGTTCCTTCCTGGGTTGGGATTTGTATTCCATGCCCATTTTTAAAGAGTTAATGATTCAAGGAGGCTCTTAGCTCAAGAAAGTGCTCTGTTCCTTGTCTTCTCACCCTGCTTTAGCCTAACAATGGCTGAAGAATACCTCTCTGCTCTCAACTGGCTTTGAGGGGAGAGGGGTGTCTTCCAGTTAGCCAGTTAATGCTGAAAAAGCTTCTCTGTCATGGTTACTGTAATAACTGTGTAGGAGAGGGCAGGTCTAGTGAAGAAAAAAGGTAGGCTGTTTCCATCTCTAAAAGTTAGGGCTATCCCAGAAAGAAGGTTGTGCTGAGACGGACATGAAATTAAACTGAAATCCTCAACCCACTTGCATGCACAGAATTCTTTATACATGCACAGCCGTACAGAGCGTACGTATCCCCATGTGCAAGCTTACAGATCTGACTCTCTGGAGAGACTGCTTGCTTTGTTTTTTAGCTCATAAGAACTGGATAGCATGGATTTGCAGTGGCTAGTCAGGAAGACTTAACCAGTGTGTCTTTATGTTACTGGCATTGGTGAGGAACACAGCTCAGTCTGCGAGGATGACAAACATGACCCCTACATGGATCAGGGCCAAGTCTTAGCTTTTTGCTCCTACCATGATGGCTCTTCAAGGGGGAAATGCTGTAAATCTCTCATACTTCAGAAAGCACTGCAATAAGGAGACTTAGCATGAGGAGCCTGCCTTCAAGCCAAGTCCTCTGCAAAGGTGAGTGGAGAATAGGGACCTATCCCCGGTGACCATACAGCCTTAACAGAACTGGTAATTGTTGCTGTTCAGAAGGGGCTGACTGCTCTCTCCTTGGTCACAGGACTCCTCGCAGCAGCTGGAGGGTTCGCACCCACTGTCTTCCTCTGTGGGGAGGTTTATGTAGTCCTGAAAGCAAAGAGAGGCCAAGAGCTTTAGTGCACCCCTCCCTAGTTCTCTATCAGTTGTCATTGTGGAAATGCTACTGCTCATTTCATTTTTGCTTAGATTTATTTTGGAATTTTCCAGCCTTGTCTGAACTGGGGAGGGGCACTTCAGCAGGAGTGAGGAGCATGGAGGAGCTGCCCTGAGGGTTGAGGCTTTAAAGGTCCTCTCCTCATGTAAGCCATTGAGACTATTTACCAGAGACGCTGCATCCCGCAGTCTGACTGGAAGTCCTGCTCTGCACGGGAGAGCACGGCAGCCCTGGTACTGGGAAGCTCATGTCTCCCCACTTATGCATGGGCTTAACTTGCTGTGCAAATCTTTAGCATTTGATTTGCAAGAAGCTCCTGACCAGGTAAAAGAAGGGAGCTGCTGCCAACTGGCAGTGGCTTGTAAATGCGGGGGTACATCTGAGCCTCTCCCTTCCTTTGTCCACACATCACTATGTGAAGCTTCTCACCTTCTCCTTGTTGACTTCCAGTTGCTTCTGAATGAGACAACAGATCTGGTCAAAGGTTGGCCGCTGCGTGGCTTGCAGGTTCCAGCATGCTTGCATGATGCTGTACCTGCAGGGTTGAGAAGCGGTGATGAGTCTGTTAATGCTCTCTGAGCGTTTCATAATCTGTTTGCTCTGGGCCCTTCCAAGATGCCATGATGGGATTAGCTCACTTTGTCTTTTTCTGTGTGACCTGGAGGACTAGCAAACCTTTTAATATTTCCATGCATCTAGTAAGAGCAATGCTGATGTCTTTTGCATGTGTTCGAATAGGCTTTGTTAGTACTGGTATGAAAGCACTTGTCTCTTGTCAGGTGGAAGATATTAAAGGAGAGCAAAAAGCTGCCTCTTTCTAACCGTCTGAAGACCTGACATAAGGAGCACTTGGGCCATGCATACAGACTTTCCCATATAGCCAGCAAGAAAGGAGTGAACTATAGGAATATTTGTGGCTATCCATGGCTGTTACTATATTAAAAAAAAAAAAATCTCCCTTTATGTGTGCCAGAGGGGCAGTGGTGACGTGCCAGTGGCTTCTGAGAGGAAACTTAATCCTGTTTTGGAAGGATCTTGTATCCAGCAGGAGTAATGGTCAGGAGCAATATGGCCCTTACTGCCTGGAGTCTCATCTGCACCCCCACCCCTTTTTTTTTTTTT